TTTTCCAGATTTATGTACATATGTATCATTTGAAATAGGTCTTAACCAATAACTACTGTATATACAATTTTCTCTCGTAGACATACATGTAAAATATTATTCTGTCAGTCTGTGCCAAATGCCTATTATACAGTTTTATACCTTTCATAAGATACTTTTTTTTTGTCATTTTTCCAAAACATGAAGTATTAAAGTATACATTGGTGCAGGAAATAATTATGTATATTATGTAATACAAATGTATAACTAATGTTACATTAGTATATAATGTTGGCATGTCAATAATGAAAATGCCCCAAGGAAAACACCTACATGTAATGCATTTATATCATTATTTTATCGTTACTAAATTTTACTGCTGTTAATAAAGATAATTGCCAGAGATCTGAAAGTTCATTGATTCAGCCCAAAGAAAAATGACAATATATTGATATTGGATGACAAGTATTGATATTGATATATTAATTTATTATATTATATACTTATAAATGAAATATTGAGAAATATTGATGAAATAAAATGCGTATTTTCATTTTCGTATTTTCACTGTAACCATTTATTTTTCACTGCAGTCATATTTTCCGTATTTTCACTATTGTCTTTGCCGGACTACTTTCTTTTAAATTCTGCCAGTACACAAAATTTAAGAGAAAGTCTTTTAAATTTTAATGTCAAAAAAGAGAAAAATGTATATAATAAACAGAAAATTCAAGTATTTTTTATAAATACATGATTTATTTTCATCTTGTGGCATGAAAATTACCATATTTCACTCGTGGCTACCGCCACTCATGAAATATTTATTTTCATACCACTCGATGAAAATAAATCATGTATTTATAGAAAATTTGAATATCCTCTATATAGTTATCACTATAAAAATTTATTTTTCACTGCAGTGAAACATATTTTCCATAATTTCACTGGTGTCTTGTCGAACTACATTCTTCTGAATTCAGGCAATACATTAAATTAAGGGGAAGCATATTTTTCTGGTCCTAAGGGATCATTGATGCCAGCACTTTTAAGTGTTGAGAATTGGTTAGTGCTCAAGCCGATGCTAGGGGGCATGAGGGATGTTCCACTTTTTCATTATCCCTCATGTACAGACTTAATCAAATGGAGTCTGCAATTTTCATGTAATTTTGTTGTGATTAATGCTTTTGAGGGATCATTTTGTTTCCAGATTTTTATACTTCACAAGACACAACAGCAGGTGTCAAGTGCCATATGGCATCTGTAAAAAGTTGCCCTACTAAACTTCCGTGTTGTTGTATTTTTCTGGTCCTTTGGGATCACTGATGCCAGATCATAAAGTGTTGAGAATTGAGTACCACTCAAGCCGTTGATAGGGGTCGTGAGGGATGTTGCACTTTTCATTATCCCTCATGTACAGACTAAATCAAACCAAGTCTGCAATTTTCATGTAATTTTGTTGTGATTAATGGTTCAGAGGGATCACTTTGTTTCCAGATTTTTTTTCAAAGTGTAATGTCAAAAAGAGAGAAAAATTATATCTATCTTTATTTTATTTTCTCTTATGTGAAATTTGATTTAAGTAGATAATCAGATACAGACTTAAATAAATCAATAAGTATGTGATAGTTTACATGATTTTTAATTGATACATCATTATATGACCACCAAATGATATAATAACTAGAAATGTGTCCATAGGACACGGGTGCCCCCACACTCCACTGCTTTGTCAATCTTATGACTTTAGGTAAAATATTTTTTTAGGCTACATGATTGTGCCACAAGTTGAAAACTAAAAATCGTTTACTAAGTCAATGGCAAGAGCTTTACAAATACTGAATAAATCCACAAGCAAACCCTAAGGTGCATAAGAATAAGGCTGACCAACATTCTTGTAACCTTTCAGACCTACAGGTCAAATATTTTTTTAGTTATACTAATTTATCAAACAAATTTATACTAAGTCAAGGGCAATAACTCTAACAAAACTGAAAAAAAAACACATGCAAAACCCTAGGTGTATAGCTTCAGTGATGTTGATCATTATTCCTGTAAAGTTGGTTGATTCTAACTCAAGCACTCAAGGAACAAATAACACAACATAATGGAACGGTTTTCACTAAGTCAAGGGCAATAAATCTGACAAAACAGAATAAATCCACAAGTGAAACCCCAGGTGCACAACTTCACATCCTGAGCAACATTTCTATAAAGTTGCATGACACTAGGTCAAATGCTTTTTGAGTTACGTGTGACACAAGTTGAAAATTATAAATTTTTATGAAGTCAAGGGCAATAACTCTAAAAATACTAAATATATTCACACGAATATACCCATGTGCACAACTTCACATGCTGAGCAACATTTCTATAAAGTTTCATGACTCTAGGTCAAATACTTTTTGGGCTACGTGCGACACAAAAGCGAACAGACGGACGGACAAGGGTAAATCTAAATAACACCCTAAAGTGGGGGCTCAAAAATATACATATTAGATGCTACAGTTATAGTTTAAAAAGGTGAAGACCCATGTCTTACTCTATAGCTTTTGCTCATATTAAAACACTTAGAAACATAAAAATTCAAAAAAGTCTACAATGTATTGTCATGCCTTTCAAGCTTTAATCCAATTTACTTTTTATTTCATGCTCAATCATAATAACAAAAACTCTCAAACAAAGTAATTATGACTTTAAAATAAAATACAAACAACAATCTATTTTTTCTTTAGTATCCGCTTGATACTGGTTAACTAAAGCACTTTACAGATTGATTCTAAATTTTTAAACAGAAAAATATATTTGTACATGCTGACTTTTAGCCCATTTAAATGCCTGGATTCAATTAGCCAATTAGATTTTGCACACTGTGTCACAGCCATTTGTTTATCTGCTGCATAAAGGATTTACATTTAATTAAATAAAAGGATTTAATAATGATTTTTCTGATGTGACAGTTTAATTATGTCATTAAAAGGCATAAATTTATTTTTTTATTTTTCCCTATGAATAGGTAAAAATTAATGTATTTAAATGCTAACTAACGTGTTTTAACCTTTCACAAGAAAGCTTTGGGGAACATGAGTTTATGAGCAATTACAAAATCACGTTGATTTGCCAAGAAGTAAAGATATTTAAAAGCAACATCACTTAAAGTTTAATTTATAGCGCACTAACAAAGTTCTATGCTCCTGCTTTTATGAATAAATTATGCAAATGAGTCAGGTTGAGCCACCATGTTGGAGTTTCGGTAAGCATGTTGAAAATCGCTACCTGTTTGTTTTGAAAGCTCGTCCTAACTTACAGTTTCCTTTATTTATTTTAATGTAGGAAAACTTGGTTTTGTTTGATTGCATATTGAATGACAGGTATTACAAAATAAATATAATGAAAATCGATCAATAAATAATTGTATACCAGCGTTATAAAGTCAATTTAATTGTCAGAATAATAAGGTTCTGTTGCAGGGTATCGGTAAAAGACTGCCTTTTTTCCCGTTTTTGAAATTTATTTGAACACGGAGACAATTTTACTCAAACAGGTTTATGAATATACTTTACGTTGCAACCGAGTTTACTGTGTGTCCATTCCTTATTTAAATTGTCTGAGAAGTTAAATCTGTTTGTTTACATGAAAATGTGTACCGTCATTTTGACCGACTGGAATAAAAACTACCATGACGGTGATAATACCGGATATGTAATGAAGATTACACCGTGTAGTGCAAAGTTTTGGACATTATCTTAAAATTAACACTTACGTTGATCCTGTCAGCAAAATTGAAACCGAAAGTAGTGGTTGTTCAAAAATTTAATCGAATAAAATGGGTGGGATTTAACCACCGCTCATTACCTGTGCGAACGTATTGTTTACATCCGGTCGTAGCATAGGGTAAGACTAAGAGTGCAAACTTTGTTAGTATAGCGTATGATACAGGACTTAGCAACATCAACACAGAGAGCCTGAACTGGGCCACATTTTCAAGCTTATTGTAATATCTATAGGTATCACACAATACATTAATGTTATATTTATACATGTAACAGTAAACTGCAAAATGACATGAACCCCCTACCATGCCATGGTCATGATTATCTTCTTTAACTTATTCGCATACAAATAAGTGTATTAAGACTGACAAAATCATTGTCCTGTTCACAGACTGGGTATCAAGATGATCTTATATGACAGGAATTTACTATTTTGCCATAATGATTTCCTAACACTTACAGCCTACTGTAGTCAACACATGTATAAATTTTGCAAAAATTTATGGATTATTTACCAGGCTGGTGAAATTGCCAGATCGGGCTTAAAATGAAAAAATGTAATTTCTCAAAAACAGTCAAAGATATTGCTTTTAAACTTGTGATATATCTTAGGCATTATAATTAGATAGACTTAAACAAATGTTACATTTTTTATTATGAGAAATACGAATTTCACATCACTTTTTTCATTTTTATATGGTCCAATTTTTTTAAGTCCATAAACACATCTTTTGCATTTGCCTTTTTCCTCAAATCTGGATTATTTTGCATCTTGGGTATCTCTTCTAATGCGCCAGCACCTTAAATTTCTGTATTGTATGCTGTATTTTTAATTGCATAACAATTGTTGACCACACTCACCCACAGGGGTTACATGTTTTTTCTAAAAAAAAATTACACAGATTAGAACTGCCATAATTTACATGATGGCGCATTCAAATGAATATATCTGATCATATAAAACTCAAAATTCAATTGGAATTCATTTTAAAAAGTCATGTTCTTGGACTTTGAAAATTTTAGCTGCTTAAAATCCAACAAAGGCAAAATATTCTTGTGTAATAACTAAAATTCATTTAATTTTAGTTCTTATACATCACAAATTAGGTAGGAAATAATATGCTTTAAAAAGGTAAAAATAACTTTGATACTTTCCAAGAAATGTGCAATTTTCATTTTAAGCCCGATCTTGCAATTTCACCAGCCTGTTTACGAGATAAAATATATGCATTTTATGCAACATCTATTTACCTTTAACGACATGTCGGCCGCAAAATGAAATTTTCAAAATTTTCCGACAAATTCTAAAGAAGCAGTCTATGATATTGCGGGACAATTTTACTATTTTGCTGACTTTCTTCCAAATTAGGGACACATATTTCTCCCGGAAATGAACAGTTATTTCCCTTCGCTGTCAAATTATTATTCCAAAGATTTTTACTAACCCAAAGGAGCTAACTACCGATATACCGAGAATTTTGTATTTCATAGCCAACTGTAGATCTACCTATTCTTTTACAAAATGGATATTTACATTTCTAGCATTAGAAATGATGCTCAAATGTGACATTGTTTTTTTTTTGGCTTGCATAGTTTGGTTATAGTTTTTTAATGATATTTTTTATAAATGTTTTCATACTGATGAACCTCTTGGTTTGTTTTTTAATTTAAAAAAGGGGAAAAAAAAGCCCTAAAATTAAAAAATTTTTCGGGACTAATTTTTGTTTGGGTTTCAAAAGCTGTTTTTTTAAAGGGTATTTAGTACTGTAAATAAAAGGGGTTTCCCGTCCACACCCCTTTAGCACGGTTTTTAAACGGGCAAAAAATTTTTTCATTTTTTTTTGGTCCCCAATGGGGGAAACTTAAAATTTAGAAATTAATTCCCCGATCAATTTTTTTTACACGGCTGAAACACAGGGAAAACCTTCAATGGGGACATTTTCTTGCAATTCCATTAAACCCGCAAATGTCCTTCAATAAAAAATAATTGGGGCTAGCCTAAAAAGAACATTATTATGATCTCTTCAAATGCTGCCATAAAATAGACATAAATGTATATCACCGCTTTTAACTGCTGTAAATATTTTGATAAAATCTAATAGGATCTGGACGATATTAAATTTAATTAATACAATTACGGGTGAGGAACTGTTACACGAACGATGGAGTTCTTATGATAACTTGTTTGGAGTTCTTATGATAACTGTCACGGAGTTCCTTGAAAACGTTACCCGTGGATTTCTGTGGAAAACTTTTCTATATACTTACAGAACTCACGTGAAAAATGGTCAGTTTTACCTTTAAATGGGGAGTTTGAGGAGCTAAATTAAACTTTGATAATTAAGCTTGCCCTACATATTGTACTATGGTTCAGAAAAACCTTTTGATCCATTTTTCATCGCATTTTTAAAAGAATCCGGGTAGTTTTGAGTAAAATTTCCAAATTACTTGCTCATTCCAGGAACGTCGTAACAATTATCATAAGAACTCCAAACAAGTTATCATAAAAACTCCATCCTTCGTGTAACAGTTCCTCCCCGTGACAATATATCCGATGCAGATCATCGTAGGTACCCACTAGTTCAAATTCCGTTGAACTACATATATAAAGTGGAAAGTGTAAACATAACGAGTACGCATGGGTTGTTACTTGTGCCGTGTGGCGGCTGTAAAATTTCTTCCCGTACATTTAATCAATGATGCTATATTTACGATCCTTGAAGATCGTTCAGCATGACATTATTTTGTGTATACATTTTAGATGGTATTTTTAGTTTCTTGTATTTGGCCTTTTTCAACTTGGGTGGTTCCAGTATTCTTACTTAAATATTGTCTAATCACCCTTGCGATATGTTGCCTGCTTTTTAAAGTTGTCTTTTGACGTCTTGTCTGTGATATGCAGGCTTCATAACCTCAGATCCCCTTTCAAAATTCCATTTTATTTAGTTCCGCCTATTGTTTTCTTGTTTAGGGCACACGCATTCTTTTACTTGGGGACCATACGCCGCTTTTCATGGAATGATATACTGCTGTGTCACATTGAAGGTTCCATGATAACCGCCGTATGTACACATCTGCGGATGTTTCTAACTTCAAAATTACACCATTTTTATGCCCCCGAAGGGTGGCATAATATAATCGCACCGTCTGTCTGTCCGTGTGTCCGCCTGTGCGTCCCCACTTCATTCGTGTCCGGACTGTAACTTTGTCATACATTGAGGGATTTTAAAATAACTTGGCACAAATGTCTACCACATCAAGACGATGTGTCGCGTCCAAGAACCACGTCCCTACCTCAAAGGTCAAGGTCACACTATCATTTTGAAGTTTCAAATTATCGCAATTAGAGTAAATAGGTACACACATTCGTGTCCGGACTGTAACTTTGTCATGCATCGAATGATTTTAAAATAACCAGGCATAAATGTCTATCACATCAAGACGATGTGTCGCGTCCAAAAATTACTCTCTACCTCAAAGTTCAAGGTCACATTAACATTTTGAAGCTTCACATTATCACACTTAGAATTAATAGGTACATACAATATCGTGTCCTGACTGTAACTTTGTCCATCATAGAAGGATTTTAGAATAACTTGGCATAAATGTCTTCAACATCAAGACGATGTGTCGCGTCCAACTATCACGTCCCTACCTCAAAGGTGAAGGTCACACTACCATTTTGTAGTTCACTTTATCACAATTAGAGTTTATAGGTACACATATTCGTGTCCGGGCTGTAACTTTATCATGCATCTAATGATTTTAAAATAACTAGGCATAAATGTATACCACACCAAGACGACATGTCGCGAGAAAGACCCATGTCCCATCCTGGTCAAGGTCCCACTTATAGATTGAAGGTACTCAATAATTCTCTCGAGAAGAGTTTGAAGATACACATTCATGTCCGGACTGTAACTTTGTCATGCATGGAAGGATTTTAAAATAACTTGGCACAAATGTCTACCACATCAAGACAATGTGTCGCTAAGGCTCATGTCCGTCTGTCCGTGTGTCCCCACTAACACAACAATCATTTCCAGACTGTCACTTTGTCATGCATTGAGGGATTTTGAAATAATTTGGCACAAATGTCCATCTCATAACAACATTGTGTCGCGTCCAGGAACCACGTCCCTTCTCCAAAAGTCAAGGTCACTTATATTTTGAAGGTTCATACTATCACAATTAGAGATAACAGGTACAATAATACAAAGAACAATATTCAGCAATTAGTTACTTTCATTCTCTTTTCTTTTCATAATACCTGCATGCTTAAAAAACCTTTTAGGGGACATTCGTCACTTGCGTGTTAGCTCTTGTTGTGCTTAAATGTTGAATTCTGCTTAAGCCGATGCAAGGGGACTTGGACGGTAACGCTCTTTACAGTACCGTTCATGAACAGGCTCAATCAAACCGAGCCTGCAACATTTTACAATTTTGCCGTGTTGGGTTTTCTTTAGGGATTTTGTTTTTCTCTATTACCAATGTAAGTTCTATATTTATTTGTATGAATCCTTACAAAAGTAAATAAAATACAATGTAGTTTCAGTCTGCTGATAATGATGAACATGAGGGATATTTATCTTATTTTATCAGTTGCACGAACTCACAGACAGCTAGTGTTAACAAATATAGATATGAGCTTTAAACAAGCTTAAATTCTGATTTTCATCAGGATTATTGCCATTTTTGTAAGGTGAGTGATCAAATACCTAGATTGTCATTTTCACTCTTGATAACGCGTATGGCATAGATTTTCTGTGATCCAAGTTGGCGGCTAGGAATGGAAAAGCGTTGTCAGGTATGATCCCGTTTCTCTACGTAATTTGTAAATGAAACAAATTCACGCAGATAAATTACAAGTCTTTAAACGCGTTTGCTTAGTTTATTTTCTTATTTAACAGTGAAAACTAGTTTTAAATAAGACCAAAAACAGCCCAAAGAATTTCCCACCGTGGATCGGATCGTTCAGGACTGCTTCATTTGCTTATTACAATTACATAATATAATGAAAACAAACGGTTTTCTTGAGCTTTTCAAAGTTTTGACGATTTGTCTAACTTCAAAAAATGAGTAATCCTATGGAAAGTGATCTACAAATTTCGTAAGATGTTGGGTCATGGTATTTTTTCTGCAGTCTTTTCTAAAAGTATCTAAAATTATCAAAAGTTTTATTAAAATAAGTTATGGCCATACTGCTTTAAAGCATACCGCATAATTGATGTTCAACCGCTTTACAGTAACTGTTGGACACTTAAAATTTGGTTTACACTTTTGATTTAATTTGAAGGACCAAGTGGGAGACTATTTTGAACAGTTCGTAATGCCCTTTTGGACTGAATTGTCTTTCATCTTCTGTCTTCTTCGTCGGGCCGTGTCTTCCTTAAAGGCATTGATTACTAAACTACTTTAATGGTCGTTGGTTTCTCTTTTTAAAGGAACATTATTTACTTGATCGTCCTAGTGCTTTACATATTTTACATTTTGGTTGAGCCTTTTTTCTCATATTTTTTTACAAAAGAAAGAAAGGAAAAAACAACAGAATCCCTACAGTGCGTCCAAAACAATGAAAACGACGAATTTAAAAATGTGATAGACTACGTCTGATTGAGCCCGTCATGGACGGAAGTGGCACTAGTAAATGCAAGCCATTGTCCACACCACAGCACCGGCCCAAGCAGTGTGCAACATCAAAACATGAAAAATGGTGAAAGTTTGAGTTTAGATGCGTTCAAGTCATAAATAAAAATTGAAATGAATTGTATAATCATCATTTCTTGTGTTGTGTAAACAATAAAAGCTCAGGACACAAAAAGTGATTTGGCCATTTTTCCGAGTCGCGCTAAGTAAATCTTAATATACATGTATGTATTGAACTATAAAACATTTCTATAATTAACGATTACGGACATTTTCAATTCGTGCTACCCATCTTGCTGTTTTCAAAAGCTCAGACGACAAAAACGTACGTCTTACAAAAAAACAACAACAAAAAAAACAATTATATTCTGTACTAGGAAGTTAAATAATATACATGTACATATGTATTCTCTTTTTTGTGTAACATTCTTTCAACCAAACCAAACCAAACCAAGGTAAGTTCCTCCTGTCACCATCTGAAATTAGGAGAGTCCGTAGACGAGTGGTTAAGGTTGTTGACTTAAAACTACTAGACCCTCTTACTGTTGTGTGTTTGAATATCTCCGCCAGGGACTTTTAATTATTTTCTTACGTGACGCCTTCTCATGTGCACGTTCGTGCCTGAAATAATGCACAGATGGGCACTTGAGGGCTTCCTCAATCAGTAAAGCTGGAAAGGAAAGTCGTCATTTGACATGTGCAGTGTTGTTGCAGCCCAACCAACTAACCAAAAACAAACAAACAAAGATCTGGAGTTCATCTACGTGTGCATAATATGTGAAATACAATGTATATACAAGACCAGAAGAAAGTCAGTTATCCGATAATGCATAGACAACTGTAAAATGACAGAGCTGACAATTGTAAAATGACAGAGCTGACAATTGTAAAATGACAGAGCTTTTTGATGTATAAAATATACACCATGAAAGAGTTAAAAAAAAACACTTTCTTTTCCTTCTTTGAAAGTTTTTAAGAAAAACATGCATAACACTTGATTGACCAATAATTTGTGCATGTGAATTGAAACTTGGTGGTTACTTCAGCATAAAATAAATTGACACATTGTAAGATATTACAACATTATATCAATTGTCACTACAACGATTCATTGTTCTCATACAAATATCATATTTGATCTATCAAGTCATTAGCAGGTTTCCATTTCGATCGGCAAATGTTGAGTGTCTGCCTCTACACGTCTAGATGCAGACATAGATCGAATGCATGAAGCCGGCCATTCTCTAAAAACTGTTCGCACCGGTTCCAGGAATATGCATGTCAAAGGAAGTGAAACATATATTACACCGAGAACCATTTGGAGTGCTATAATCCAAGCGAAACCTAAGGTATGCATGTGAGAATGCAAGACAAAGACCACGGCTGATGTTGAGAATGTAAATGTATTCCAGGCCATAAAACACGCGAACCATTCGTTAATTGTCTGTACACTGTTACTGTTCTCAGTCACGTGATTGTAGTTTTCCGGTTTTCTTTTTGTCCGAATGAAGAATACAGTGCCCGTTATTGAGAATATAATTGAAATTGCAAACGGCATCCTTTCCTTAAATACAGCGCCGAGGATATGGGCTGCTTTGTTTTGGTTGAAGCAAATTGGAATAGCTATGTGTTCTTCGTAGCCAAAGAACGATATGACGGCTGATGTTAAAAGGGAGGCATTCCAAAGAATTGTCATGGAGATGAAAAATCTTTTTTTCGAACAAGCTTTCCATCTCGGACTTGTAGTAAACACCGTTGCAATTATTTCAACATCCATTAAAATGAGGTTTGTGACGTAGAGTAAAGAAAATGCCCAGTCTAAGTAAGTGTAAAACATACATGTCCCGTATGATGTATGGAATGTACCCTCGAGTTTTGGGAGCAGAGACAAAACACGAAGAATGGTCAAGAAATTTAAATGAGCCATGTACCAGCCTGCTGATTGTTGTCGAACTTGCGCAGAGAAGATGGTTACCAGCAAAAGGAAGTCAGCGAAAGTGACCAGAATCGTAGCAGCAACGAAGCATTTGTTCAATATTTCCAGTAATTTTTTTTCCGGTATCAAGTTAACGAAGGATTCTACCTCGTAGGTATAGTAATAGTGTTCGTATGCAGTGTCATTGTACATGTACATTGAGGTCGTCATTATGTTCTGAAAATAAAAGAAGTAAATACAACATTTTATAACAATTATTTTTTTTCTAATTTTATTTTTCTTTCTGTTTTAATTCGACTCAAGGGAATGATAAATGGCCGGAAAACAGCCTTCGTTAAGCTACTCTCCCACGGTTTCCCGCAAAATTACACCGCAGAATGAGAGAAGATATTATCAATACATGTCCTGATCTTATAAAGATCTGCAAATCAAAGTTTTGACACTTTTATCCTATTATAATATTGTCATAAGTTTTAAACTCAACGTACATGTCATTCGTCATGTGTGACGTGAGACTAAAATTTTGGAGCAGAGCATGATTTACAATAAAGTAGCTATTCAAATACTTCTCTACATTGCCACGGACCTTTATCCTGCTATATTTAATGAAATGGATTAACCAAGTTTTGCATTCGGATCGATTTATTCACTGTTAAAGGGATTTCAATATCAAAATACAAAAACAAATGAGCAACAGTGTAAAGCCTAGGCAGACTACACGGATGTGCAGGCTGGTCTGGCTCTATACTGGTGACAAAGGCTTATCAGTTACGGTTTAAGCAACTTGAATAAAATATCTTACTTTCATTTTAATATTTTTCAACGGAAACCGAAAATTTAGTCATATATTTATTTCTTGCAGTAAGTTATTTGGTACTTAATCATCCCTACACAATGGCTACAATTGTTCAACGTGTTAACGAATTGAAGCTCTTCACCAGATTCTTTAGTTAAGAAAATACAGAATAAGCATTCAAAATTTATCACTAACAATATTTTAAATAAAAATATCCATTTTAAATGATGTAATCATACCTGCATACTTTAAAAAATGCATCAATGAATAATTCAAATAAAGCATCCATGAACTAATGTACCTTTGAATAAATGAAATAATGCACCCATGCTGGAATATCTTAAATAATGCATTCATATTGAATATATTACATAATGCATCAAAAAAGTATACGTAAGAAAATTCACTCAAATTAAAGTAAAGTTAAGGAGTTTAAAAGTAAGATAAAGTCATGTTTGTGAAAAAAATAAAGACATAGTAATTATTTGTACTTACATGTTTGTAATATTCACTTTTATTAATTTTGATTATTTAATCTGCACGATTAAAATTAATTCCTCATATACTATGTTTACTAACTTGGATTCTGATTGCCACTTATCATAGCATGACATACTTGTAAGTACTTGAAATATCAGAGCACTAGACTGTTTGCCTATAAGACTCTATGATTTTTAGAAGCCCACTTAAAGTATAAGTACAACGAAATCTAAAGGTACTCACTCTAACATATATACATGTAGTTAAAAATGGCGACAGGAATACTCAAAACACGTTTTATATTATAGAACATGTATGATATATATTGTACAGAGACTGAAACCTGTGTTTCGTTTTTTATTAAGCAATTTCTATATTACTGAAGTGACATTTACTCCATTATGTGAACCAATTATTTGTTGTGTTGTTTCGCTTAAAATCTAATGACATACTAGTATCCGTGCAGCTTTTGCGACTCCTTAAATAGAGGATATTGAATGAGTATAAGTTCAATACTGAATTTATTGCACTCGTTGAATAAAATTATATTATGCGAGCCTCTAATTTATTGCACGAGTTGAATAAAATTATATTATGCGAGCCTCTGGCGAGCATAATATTATTTTATTCAACGAGTGCAATAAATTCAGTAATGAACTTACACGAATTTAATATTCTATTTATCACATACCCAAAATAAAGAATGTTAAAGTGAACTAAGAGTAATTTTTCATCGACGCGCCTATAGTATAACGCTAACATCTAACGCGTCTTTACACTATGTTTGTATAACGCTAATGACGTCACGTCAAAATATATGCACAGCCGTGCAATACCATATTTACGGAGTCGCAAAATCGGCACGGGTGTGTGACAAAAAGTGGTATTGCACGGTCGTGCATATAAAATAATTTTTACGTGACGTCAATTGCTCTATACAAAAATTCCGTAAAGAGCGCTACACTACTGTATAGGCGCGTCAATGAAAAATGTTTCTTTTCTTTATTTTGGGTATGTGATAAATGGAGTATTCCATGAAGTTATTTAACTCGGTGAATGCTAGCCAGAGGCTCGCATAATATAATTTTATTAACTCGTTCAATAAATTTCTATACTGAATTTACACTCATATTAAGAGAAACAGCAAATCGATTTCCCTGCACTCAATAGATATCGGTGTAATTTCCCCCCTCTTTATACATGAACATTAATTAATACAAATTTTTCATATGCGATATGAGATATCTTCTGAAGGCGTTAAATTGTATTATTGATAAAAGCCGAGATGTTCATCTTGCGTCAGTGTTACACCCCAGTTACACAGAGCCATCGGTGATTGATCGGTAGTATTTTTAGCCAAATTATGGAGTGAACCGATGACAACGTATTTAACACCGATATCACCTATTGGTCACCTGTTCTCCACCTATCAACTGCTATTGGGGAAAGATAAGTTTCATCGGTGAAAAATTACCGATTGGGATTTTTAAACATGTTTAAAATTCTCGATCGGTGAAAATATTTTACAAATAACCGACAGCAACCTATATCACGAGATATGCAAGCTCTTAATCACCGATATTGCCGATCGGACAAAGATAACCAAATATGAATCACCGGCCATATCTGACGGAAAATGTTTAACGACTGATGACTAGCTATCAAACACCGATTAATCAGCGTTACGCCCGATTTAGCTCCGATTTACAAACGATAAAAACCGATAGTATTTCAGCATTTTTATCACCGATCCAACCCCGTTTGAGTTTGTTTTCTGTCACTGATTGCCGTTTACACAGAAAACCAGAAATAAAATCACGCATGACAACCGATCATAACAGCGAGTAAATTTAAAATGAAATGACCGATTGGGGACCGAACGTCTGTGTAACTGGCTCTTTATATACAACTTAGGTTATCCACTTTTAACATATTAAGGCTTAGATTTTTTCATAGGATTTGAGACGGAATTAATTATTGCTCATTAGTACTCCGAAAATCTTGAACGAAAACAAACTGTAGGAAATGAAAACAGCGTTTAATTGCTTCCTATTTGGTAGCTTGATACTATTAACTTATATTTTTGTCCCATTTCCTGAGAGGAACTGTATACTATAGTACTACAAGTACAAATGTTGCTGCAATATACAACAATAATTTTTTTATTGAGAAGCTCCGCGCAAAAAAAATGCGCTCATTACAGATACCTTACCAAATAATTCCTACTCACAGGTCATTGCCTATTAAGATTTAGTTAATTTTATTGAACATTATTCCGTATGTCTTGTAAATCATTTGAATTTGCAGCATTATACTTAATTATCGTATGCTTTGTCCATGAGAGAGGGGACAGATATTAAATTAAAAAAAATATGCTTTCACGGATGCCTACCTGATAAGGAAAGTCATTCCAATACAAACAAGATTAGTAAGACTTGTAATGCGACATGGCAATTCTGTTTGTGTCACATCTGTAGTCAGTAATTTTAGATTATAAAAAATATCAAAGCCTGAAAAATGGAACGGTTTTATTGAATAAAACATAATTTTAACCACTAAAGACACACATTGACTGAAAACAGCTTGTCTAAGTTTAGAACCAAATTAGAGTTATGTTATTCAGATAAAGTGCTTACCAATATAATTTCATACCGGTGTTAGGATTTCGTTGAAAATTTAAAATGTTTCTTTGGCATGCTTTATGAGGTCTAGTTAATGTCAATTATCATAAAAAGTTTTACAGACAAATATAATGTCTTGCACAAAATCAGACTTCGTTTTGTGATTGAAATTTCCATCAAAATACTCGTACTTTACTAAATCAAATTTAGGTATTTATTTGCAACATGGGTTTTCAAAGGCTTAACTTTTGAAATATTTGTCTTTAAAAGATGAGTCAAAATATTTGGAAAAAAAATCAAACGTAAACAAAATGTCCATAGATTTTAAGAAAAGAAGAAAAATGTTCAAGAATCCTGAAAGTAATAATTTAAATGTTATGTGCGAGTAATGACTGATTTTACAATTCATCACCATAAATCTACGGCATGACTAATGCAGTAAGGGTTATTATTTATTTATTTAATTATTTATTTATTTATTTATTTATTTATTTATTTAATTTATTTTATTTTATTTTATTTTATTTTATTTTATTTCATTTTTTTTTCTTTTTTAACAAATTTCTATCTCCCTTTAGTAAATTACGTGTATTGTATGTGCCGTTTGCAATATATAAGTAACTTGTTTTGTTCCCTTCACAAAATTTTACTTTTATAAAAATAATTCAAAATGAAAATTCGCATGAATGTTGAGGCTTGCTGCTTTAACAAAACAATATAAATTCTGGGAAAAACTTTATATACCAAACATTACTAATCATGCTTGCAAATCGGTCATTTAACAGGTATCAAGGAAGCATTCCGGCGAATTGCAAGTCGCCGTCGGCATTGAAATTATCTAAACAGTCTTGAGAACCTTTTCTGGTACATGGCAAAAATTTATTTGTTTCATATATGTTATTTTTCGTGTATCTCCAGTGTTCAGCGTGTTGATACAATTCTTGGCCATATTGATGTCTAAGAGACATTCCGGGATTTCCCGGAACATTCACCCATTGTCCATCCAGCAGTACTTTGGTAGGGGCTAAACCAGATTTTATAAGCTCAGCACTGCTCATTAAAAGAATACCGTGTAAATCACCATTGTAGCCTCTATATGATATAGATCGATGAAACACACCCCTATCCAGATCAGATTTACCACATTCTTTCTCAAAACTTTTAAAACGAAACCCTGCCTTTTGTAAGGCTGGTATAATAACTTTGCATTGTGTTATATTTGTGGCTAAAACTCTTACGTCCCAGTCGTACTCCCATGGCAAAGCTTTTCCAAGCTTGACGGCACCAAGAGTAGAGCTGGCTTGTAATTCACAAATACTTCGAGTGGACTCACAAACTCTCATAAATACTTTAGCAGCTTCATTGTTGACCTTTAGCGTACATGGAGATAATGCTCGAGAGGGCCTGCTGGATGGTTTCGAAATGCCGCAGCTTCTTCTATATGTGATACCCGTGGGTGTATAAATTTCAAACACGTCCCATTTCTGGGCAAATTTTACCAAATTCGAAACCGAAGACTTATTTTGCATATCTACATGAAACATAGAATCTGGACATGTTATGGTTTCTTGTCCATTTAGTGAAACTCGCAGAAACCAATCTTCGTATAATCCGTTATTTTCGTCCAAATCATGAAATAAATTCTTGCTCAAATATTCAGTGGTTGTGACAAATGGTCCCTGGATATAATCACAGAATAAGCACTCGTGAAATGATTCGTCATAACCCTCCATGTACTTTAATGTATAATTTTGATAGATTGATTGGAAACAACCTTTCCTCCAATGTCCGTTCGGTTCACGGAATGCCCCGCCTGCAGCGACCACGGTCAAACTTTCTATTTCCCCAACTAGTCTTTGTAGTCTGATGTCACTTGTAAAATTATTCACGTCCCTCGCAACCAAGACATAAGGTGTTTTCACCTCTTCAATCAACTTGTTTAAAGCAGATCCTTCGGACTTGTATTTAGATTGTAATAGTTTCAAGTGTTTGTATTTTGGGGCAAAATCAGTTTTCAAAATTGTGGAATCTACAGCTATCAAAATATTACCGTTAGCAATAACCTCATTATAAGTAGAAATTATAGTTTTTAATTTGACAATCGAAGACTCTATATCGCTCGAATTAACCTTTATATATTTAACCACAGTAACAAGGTTAGACATTGGAACGCTGTAATCACAGTCATTTTTCTTGAATCCTTCACGATACCAGGGATAACCAAACCCGCTTCCCATGAACGTTTCTGAACAAACACTTGTTGAGTTGACGTTTGACCTTTCATAAAGCTTGCCCACATCAATATCCATCTCTTTTAATATAGCGTTCATGATTGAAATAGATTTCTGTAAGTAGTGTGAAGTCTTAAATCCTCTTACATGGTTCTGTGCTTTCCGAAGATATTTCGCCAGAGATGTAACTTTTTCCCTAGTCCCGGCTTTTAACAGGTCGTTTATGTCTTCATCGTTTGGGAACTTTCTTTGGAATACTGCGAAAGAAGCCTAAAAAATCAAGAATAATATTTCGATGAAATGTGTTTATAGAACCACAAGCATTTCGGAAAAGGTTATGGTTTTTTTTTAGAAGGCAACTTGTCCATTTTTAGTGAAACGCGCAGAAACCAATCTTCGTATAATCCGTTTATTTTCGTCCAAATCATGAAATAAATTATTACCTCAAATATTCAGTAGTTGTGACAAACGGACCCTGGATATAATCACAGAATAAACACTCGTGAAATGATTCATCATAACCCTCCATGTACTTTAATGTATAATTTTGATAAATTGATTGGAAACAACCTTTTCTCCAATGTCCGTTCGGTTCACGGAATGCCCCACCTGCAGCGACCACGTTCAAACTTTCTATTTCGCCAACTAATCTTTGAAGTCTGATGTCACTTGTAAAATTATTCACGTCCCTAGCAACCAAGACATAAGGTGTTTTCACCTCTTCTATCAACTTGTTTAAAGCAGATCCTTCGGACTTGTATTTAGATTGTAATAGTTTCAAGTGTTTGTATTTTGAGGCAAAATCAATTTTCAAAATTGTGGAATCTACAGCTAATCAAAATATTACCGTTAGCAATAACCTCATTATAAGTAGAAATTATAGTTTTTAATTTGACAATCGAAGACTCTATATCGCTCGAATTAACCTTTATATATTTTAACCACAGTAACAAGGTTAGACATTGGAACGCTGTAATCACAGTCATTTTTCTTGAATCCTTCACGATACCAGGGATAACCAAACCCGCTTTCCCATGAACGTTTCTGAACAAACACTTGTTGAGTTGACGTTTGACCTTTCATAAAGCTTGCCCACATCAATATCCATCTCTTTTAATATAGCGTTCATGATTGAAATAGATTTCTGTAAGTAGTGTGAAGTTTTAAATCCTCCTTTACATGGTTCTGTGCTTTCCGAAGATATTTCGCCAGAGATGTAACTTTTTCTCTAGTCCCGGCTTTTAACAGGTCGTTTATCTCTTTATCGTTTGGGAACTTTCTTTGGAATACTGCAGAAGAAGCCTAAAAAATCAAGAATAATATTTCGATGAAATGTGTTTAAAGAATCATTTCGGAAAGGGTCTTGTATTGGTTATATTTCCTAAGGCAACGCAACACAGTTAGTGTCTAACAGTAACTTTAACCATGAATAATCGTGGCGGCATAGCCGAGTGGTTGACGCTTCGGACTAGTAATCTTATGATTGCTAGCCGCAAGGGTTCAAACCCTGACAGGGGTAAGTTGTTGTTTCCTTGAGCAAGAAACTTTACATTCGTTGCTTAGTACTGGTTGGTTCCAGGAACGGATTGGAAAGTGTGTTTATTAGCTAATAGCTTCCTACACAATCGAACTAAAATAAATTCTTATAAACCAACTATGAATAAGACAAAAAATGATAATGTAAAGGCTTTCGTTTATATATAAAAGTTTTTCCTCTTCCTTCAAAGCGATGCCCGAAATGTCATTTGACCCTGTAATTAGAACTTGCCTTCCGTTGTTTATGTTCGATACTGAAATGTGTAATATTAGCTTTGTACAGTAAAGACCCATTATTTCTCAACACCTTTTCAATTTTTGTATCTTATAAAAGTTTCCAAAATTACTCATTGGGGATATGGGTGAAATATATTTTCTCTTTAGCTCTGTTGGTAGATGGTATAATTGTAGTGAATTGGTATTTTGTATGGGAGTCAAAATAATGTCTTCATATTTTGCTATCTTTTTATGTCATTACTACATTTTAGAGCTTCTTTCTACACTTGTTTAACATGTAATAAGGTCTAACTCCATTATTAAAACACTATTAAACACGCGTTTGACACTTCTATAAATTAAAGAAATTTGAATTTCTAAGGCAAGACAAAGTCAGAACATCTTAATGTTATAAATTGTGTTAACATTTACATTATTTGTGAGCTAGCTATGTACCATTCGAATAGTTATAAATAACAGATAAATTCTAGGCCATCTTTAGGTACTTGATTTTGATTTTGAGACTAAATTTCCTTCATAAATGCATAGTGCTTGTTACCTGGTTTACAGAAGATCTTTTATTGTCAATCTGTTTTGGCCTAGGTTCAACTCTTATAAAGGAAAGCTGAAAAAGAATGAAATGTTTTTAACAATAGAAATATCAATGGTATTTTAGAATGAGTTATCGCACTTTAACTTAATTTCAGTAGCGTGTTGGCAACAGTCGTGGAATTTAAAATCTTAAGTACGCCCGTTCTAGCTTCAAAACTTAAAACACTTGCTTAATTAAAAAGTAGGTTTTGTTATATTTTACATTCATCGATAAATTGATTTATTTTACATGAATTATCGGTTGCATCATTCACAAATAAAACAATTAAATGTGTTGATTTTTACACTGTATTATTTTAAATTCAAGGCTTATTTTTTAATGTAGTAATGATTTTTTTTTATTTATATTCATTAGATAATAATTGTTTTCATACATCTTTAAACAAAGGCCTGGATGTCATTTGTATTAGAATAACAAAACATGCCAGCAGGAAGAAAAACGCCAATTTCCACTTAGTTTCCGGACAATGCATTTTGAACCTGAAAATAAGAAAAGATGATTCATAAAAAGCGTCGTTTGGCGTGGAAAAATGATACAGTTATTTTGACAAATGCAACAAATAGAAGTTTTTGTTATTTCATCGTTGCCTTTGCTTTGATGACATTTTTTGACAATCATTAGGAATGGATAAGAAATGTTTCGTAACGTTCGAGACGTAAACATACAACAACAAAAACAATAACAATATTAATAATAATAACTATAACGACAATGCATGATATCTTTGTTAAAATATGATCCAATGGATGGTCTAAAATCAATAGCTTATAATATAAAAGTTACATTGATCATCATTTTAAATAACATTTTCCACTTAACGTTCAATTTCAAGTAAAACTGAAAAATGTACATTCACAAATTGGGTTTGCCTGTGGAACTATATATATTATAAAGCAATGCACGATGGTATGGACATGTCTTTAGGACACCTCACTGAATGTATCCAGCTTGAGAACAGTTCATTTAAAGTTTTAGGGATTTTAATATCAAAATACGAACATTGACCAACCAACAATATAGATAGAGACTGACGTGTAGACTGGCATGGTTCTTATACTGTTGTCAAAGGTCATCCATCACGTTTGGTCCCAGCAGGTCAAAGGCAAAAAACTGTTATTGTTTTAAGATAATTGGAAAACATAATGAAATCACCGGTAACCAGTTATATATCACTACGATGGATTGGTCCACAAAAAGAGCGCGATTGTTTAAAAGGCTCATTATGCCTAAGAAATGCTATTATTTTTACGTCTCAGAAGCTTTTTAATTTTGGTGTTCTTTTAAAGTAACTCTTCAAAAAGTTTCTCATTGGCCAGTTACCTGAACCATCATTTTCATATGTTACTTTTTGGCGATAAGAACAATAACAGTGAATTAGTAATTTATATGGAAGTCAAAATACTACTTTGTTTACATTTTGCGTACTTTAGTAAGATAACAAATACCTAACATTCTCTAAAACCATAATTTAATCATAAAATTCATGTTTGCTGTTTCTAAAGAAGTAAAAATATATTTGTTTCTGAGGCATAGTATGCCTTTAAAAAGTTAACATATACATATACACACCGGAATTAATACATTAATGATACAGCACTTTCTGTAAATACATGTATCGTAAAATAAAAAATAAATTTATCATTTATTTTTTAAAGACAAAAACAACTTAATATTGCACACTTACTCCTTTATTACGTAATAAATCCACTTAAAAGTAACGTTAAAGCATCAAAAATTTACCTAAATATAATTGATATTATTATATTGCAACATATACACTTCTCGTTCAAAATTTATTTAACTTAAGCCTCACTAAGGTCAAATAGAGCGTCTTAGTGTAATCCAACTTAATTTTCGAATGAAATACTAATGTACTTTTTCATTGCATTCATTGTAATTATAATCATTAAATTTGTATATTTTCTTTTGTTAGACTGCTTACAATTATCTTTTTATGCTTCCCTAGCTTAGTCTTTGCCCGAACTGCTGACGGACGGCAAGACATGCGGACGAACGGACAAAGCGGCGATAAAGCATAAAAAAGTATAGACTGTGTTTAGACACGTACATATGGCTCTTAGTTTTTCCCTGAAAGGACGTTAAATTTGTGCAAAAACCATGCCAAAGCTGAGCAATTTTACGGGTTAATGGGTAAATTACCTCTTCATTTTGTGAAAGGATCAATATAATCAATGAGTAAATGTATGTTAATCAAATTGAAAGAAATAAATTAACGCATACGGCTGCTATGACATTACAATTTTAACCCTCATGACGAATATTTCATTGAAAGTCTTTGATATTTTACTTATTTAAGAGAGAGAAAAAACGATTTGGCTAGGTAGAATTACGTGTTTTGCCGACCAAGGTGTCGTCCCAACACGTAGTAATCTTGAAAATAGTTTTATAAAGTTTTGAAATGCCCCAATTAAAGCCGTTAGTAGTTTGATTGGCCATATTGGCCAAGTGCACATATAACATAAAATTTAAACAGTTAAAGACAGCATTTTTTTCAGCAGGGATTTTGGAATCCAAAAAAATTAATCCTGAAATATGACTGATTTACAATAGAATTAAGGGCGATATTTGAGTGTGCCAACACATCAAGCATAGTTTCAGTTTGATAGATAGTTCGCCATATACAAATGATCATGATAAGCAAATAGTTTCTTAGTAATATTTGTTGATAGGGTCAAAAACCGTATGGGCTTGTACATGTCTTTCAATTTGATAGACTATAAATGTAAATCTGTTTACCTACCGGCTCCTTTGTTAAAAGCGGTCTAGTAAATCACTTACCGACCGCTTAACAGGTCTGCAAATAGATACCGACCTGTTATTGTTCTATTGTTCTATATACAAAAGAAAATATGTGAAACTCGTGCATTTAAGATTAAACATTACATAATAATCCCCGTATACGTATATCCAATGACACTGAAATGTTGAAATAATGCAGGAATCATGCAAAAAATAACTCTGAATTGTGCATTTATGGATGGGGGAATAGGACCGATATATAAAAATTAAAGTACATGTTCATCAAATTAAAAGAAATGAATCAGCGCATACGGCTGGTAGGACATCATATTCTAGCTCTCATATGATAGTTTTTGCTTTAAGATAACCGACCTGACTACCGTTCTTGAGTATAAGTTTGTGTTTTGCTGATATAATTAACGCGCATAAAGACCTTCTTTATAGTTTGCTTTTCGGTATAAACACATTTTACCGAACTATTTAGCTTCATATAATACTAGTTTTCGGCATTTATTTCCACAATTCTGTCAGATTTTGTTGCACAATCCTGCGTTATTTTAACAATTCTGCATTATGGGATAGAAACGATCTTATCAAACATATGAAGAAGGGGGAATGATTCTTATAGAGAATACACCGAAAGAAAATTCTTCCGAACATGAAGAAATACTAAGCATATTTAAAATCCGCCATCTATAAAACGCCTACATGAAAAAAATAATAACAACAAAAAAACCTTAACAACCAAACTTACAAGACAGTTAACTACGTGTATTATGAGTATTTATTTATATTCACAAAAGCCTGTCAACTTACTTTCCTTTGAACATAATCGTAAATTTTATATCTAAAATAGGCGGATCATATATTTACCATGAAATTCATTATATATCAAGATTAAGTATTCTATTTCAATATATTTTGTATATTATTATTATTATATTATATATACATATTATAAAATAATAATCTTACCTTTACCCTCTTTATATCAATTTGATATATTACGTAGTTTCATTTTGTAATCACAGTGATATAAATTGCATGTGAATTACTCTTGTGGTTTTAAAGATATTTGGAATTTAAAACTTTGATGCTTCTATAGATTTTAATTTTTTTAAAGCATACAGCAATAATGTGTTTTAGTGAGCGAAACTCGACGAGGATTATATATACACGGTCAGACCTGTATAATATCGGGCAATTACACAAAAAGGACTTAATCCTATAATTATCAACACTTTGAAAGGACTTAAGTTAATGCAATACAGAGGGAACAGAGGTGGGCAATATGGGATTAGACGAGCCTGGGATACTAACCATAGTGTGAATGTTGACAATTTACAGTTACTTCCCCAAGAAATAATAAAAGTTAATCAGAGAAGACGTATAGAAAAATCACTCAGCATGTGCAATGTGAAAAACTTAATCCGGGTAAATCTTGAACACAATACAACAGTAAAAGGCCAAACAAACATAAAAATATGTTTAATGAACGCACGCTCAGTGAAAAACAAAACCCTATCCATATGTGATTTTTTTCTCTCCAATGAGTTTGATATATGTGCCATAACTGAAACATGGCTAGGTAGTTCTGTTGATAAGGTGTGTATCAGTGAACTTGTACCTCCTGCTACAAAATGAAACATGTCCCGCGTGTTGGTAGGCGAGGTGGGGGTGTAGCTATCATCCATAAAGCTTCTATACAAGTCACCACTGAGTCGTCATGTCAAAGCAAGGAATTCTCACAATTTGAGTTCATGGACTGTAATGTAGTTGGGCGGTACTCTATGAGGCTAGCGGTAATATACAGACCATTTCCTTCTAAACAGAACGGCTTGAATACAAACACTTTCCTTGATCATGAGTTGCCCCTTTTCTTAACTAAGAACGCTACAGTTGACAATTCTGCAATCATACTAGGCGATCTGAACTTTCATCTAGATATACCAGACAACAACGATACGAGAAAATTTACAAGTAACCTTGATACATGTCGTATGCATCAGCGTGTACAAGAACCAACCCATGTTGCAGGTCATACATTGGACGTAGTGATATCAAGGGAAACAGACAACATTGTATCAAACATAGAGGTCATAGACCCTGGACTCTCTGATTCTAGTGAAAATATCTAATCTTACGTGACCATTTTGCTGTTACATTTGCTGTTAAAGCCTCAAAACCTGCACCGGTACGGAAATTGGTTTCTTACAGAAAACTGCGCGCAATTGACATTGATTCTTTTCGAGATGACATACGGAAAACGGAATTCTTCAACAAAGAGTGTATCCCTTCTGACATAGATGGTTTTATGATGGAGTATTCAGACAGTCTAACCTCTATTTTGGATAAACATGCTCCGATGATTAACAAAACTATTTCATTGAGACCTGCTTGTCCGTGGTATACAGAGCTACTCCACGAAGCCAAGCATGAAAAACGTAAACTGGAACGGAAATGGCGTGAAACTAAATTTACAATAGACCACCAGATCTACAGAACACAATGTTCTAGTGTGAACAAGATGTTAAAGAATACTATACAAATAAAATAGAGTCTTGTGGCAATGATCATAAAAGTCTATCTAAGATTACCAAGGTCTACTTGGAGATACAAATGAAGTGATTCTACCATCTGATTCATCTTCAGAGCGCCTGCCCAGAAATTCAGTGACTTCTTTATCGGAAAGATTGAAACAATAAGGAATAACATACGTTCTCAAACAAAATCGGTACCTGATAATGTAGATATGGAATCTGAATATACGTGTGTCAAATATACTGTGTTTGCTCCAACCACAGACCAAGAAGTGAAAGCATTGATTAAAAAATCAGCCACCAAATCCATTGAGTTAGATCCCATTCCAACATGGCTGTTAAAAGAATGCCTAGATGAACTAACAGCAGTGGTAATCAGTTTCCTAAACGTGTCCTTGGATGCCGCTTATGTACCAAAAATGTTCAAACACTCACGAATAAGACCACTTCTAAAGAAACCAAATCTAGATCATAACGAACTGAAAAACTATAGGCCTGTGTCTAACTTGCCATTCCTGTCTAAAATCTTGGAAAAGGTCGTTGACGTACGAATTGAGAGCCATCTGAAGACAAACAATCTACACGAGGTCAACCAATCTGCTTACCGCAAGTTCCATACGCCCGAGACTGCATTGTTAAAAGTTCAAAATGACATTCTACAGTCTTTGGATAATAACAATGTGACTATTCTCGTGATGCTTGATTTGTCTGCTGCTTTTGATACAATTGATCACGGAACGCTCCTTCGCCGCATTGAACGACACTTTGGAATTACAGGCAAGCCACTCGCATGGGTGAAGTTATACCTGACCGACCGATACCAGACTGTATGCATAAACAACAAACTATCACAGCCAATCCACATGGAATACAGTGTACCTCAAGGGTCTGCCCTTGGACCCAAGAGCTATGTGATGTATACGAAACCTGTCGGAGAAATCTGCCGTAAACATGAGCTAAACAACCATTTCTTCGCAGATGACTCACAACTCTATCTATCCTTCAAACCAGTGACTAGTATTTCAATTCAAGAGAATATAAACCGTATTGAAAGATGTCTTGATTATATTGTAAGTTGGATGAATGCTGAAGCTAAACGGCGACAAAACAGAATTGATCATCTTCTCATCAGAACATAACGCACAACCTGTTTCAGATGTTACAGTAACAGTCGACGGTTCGAAAATTAGCCAATCATCTAGTGTGCGCAATCTTGGTGCATTTCTTGACTCGAACATGAGGATGGAACAATATGTAAATAATGTCTGTAGGAACTGTTATGCACAATTAAGACAAATTGGTCACATCAGACCCTATCTTACTGTTAAAGCAACCAAATCTCTAGTAAATTCACTTGTTACCTCTAGGTTAGACTACTGTAATGCACTGTTATATGGAGTCTCTAAGCAGTCAATGACCAAGTTACAACATGTTCAAAATACAGCAGCTAGAATTGTGACCAAAACACTCAAATATGGCCACATAACACCTATCTTACGTGAACTTCACTGGCTTCCGGTAGAGTATTGGGTCGAATGTAAAATTTTGACTTATACATATAAATCCCTCATCGATCAATCACCAGCCTATATAAAAGACATGATAGACGTGTACATCCCAGTCAGGAAACTGAGGTCCCAGAATAACTCAATGACATTAGTTGTGCCTAAATCTCGGACAGTACGATATGGTGACAGGTGGTTCAAGACAGCCGCAGCGAAATTATGGAATGCGTTACCACCTGGCATGAGAGACTGTAATACCTTGCCAAGTTTTAAGAGAACTCTCAAAACACATTATTTCATAAAGTTTTATGGACGTTAGTTTCATAAAAAACATACATGTACTACTTTTGCTATATTATCAGTGTAAATTGTGTGTTTGATTTTATGTCTTAGGGTTTTACTTTATAATTGGTTTCTTTTTAACTTTTGTTTGTTACTTTTTTAACAATCTTATTTCGTTCAAATCTTTTATAGGATTTCTTTTTAATTGAGACATGATTTTAAACTAAATGTGTCTGTATTTCTTACCATCCTTTACTGGTTTTAGATTATCATTATTGTTTAATAGGTTTACTTAATTAATATTGTACCTTATGTCTTATATATATGATTATGTTTTATCAGATTTATGTAAAGCACTCTTGGACATTTATTATTTATGAAAAGAGTGCTATAGAAATGTGGTATATAATAATAATAATAATGACTTGAAACTCTCAACAGGTACATTTACCTGGCCTTATTACAGAATGAAACCCCACGAAAAAAAACGAGAATATTCAAATAACACCTGATTTGTGCACTAATGAATTACAAGAGCGTAGCGGTCGGTATATTTGAATGGCTTCGGAATGCATTCTTGTATAGGATATCGACCGAGTACGAGGTCTTTCCTTAACAGAAAGATCGATGTACGAGGCCGATATCCAACTTACACACCGTTAAAACTATATTGGATTGAGAAGCATTTAATGAAATGCACAAATATTATTTTTAACAAATTAACGCATATACAGGTAAGCTTTTATCGACGTTCTGCTTAAATACAATATATACTGTGCTTTCCCCTTTAAAATAAAAAATCAAAAAAGCTTAATGTGCAATTTGTCAATAATAAAGTGAATAGATCTGTAAAAGAAGGTATGTTAAAGAAAGAATAATTATGTTCATAGTATTTCGTATCAGACAATGCAGATTCTAGGACATTTGCCCCCGGACAGTTGCACCCCGGACGTATGTCCCCTTTTTTGCCGTTGTGACTTGTCATCTCGTGTATAGATTTTATGTATGTCAATGGAAACAATTTAGTTTTATTTATTTATGGATGCTATTTTGACTTTCACAAATTTGCGCGAGAGTTTTTGTGTATTTAAGCACAATGAAATTTCGACAATAGGCGATGAATTATGGTAGCAAACAATTCAACAATAAATATTTTTTAAAACAGGGAGTGGGGGGACAAATGTCCGCCCCTTCCTAAGATATGAGGGGGCAAATGACCGCCATTGCAAAAAGGAGGCAAACTTCCGAGGGCGCAACTGTCCAAAGGGCAATGTGTGGATACCCAGCAGACAACAAAAGACTTACATATAAATATTGTTGGCAAGTGTGAAATATATGAACCGAAACTATATTTTATATAGCAGATTATAAAGTGCTCTAGAATAAAATATGATCGTTCATCATTAAATGTTTTAAACTAAATCACCAATAACTTTATTAACATTTTAAAATCGTAATGAGTATGCTTTGATTTCTGCTATATAGTTTCATAGATATGAACTTCAGGCGTCCATTTTGTTATATTTTGAACTTAATGACAGAATTACTATTACTTTAAAAAATGACGCGATTAAATAAATGTTAAACGTGTCCTAACTTTGACATGCTATCCATTATTTTTATTGAAAGATTTAATATAGGGATGCTGGAATAATTGCTTAGTTAAAAGGGTTTTAATTTGTGATTGCATTTTATGTTTTCTTTGTCTGCGCATAGGCAGGTCTATTTTTTCACGTGTATTTCATGACTAGAACAGACATGTGCACGTGCAAAAGAAAGACCTCATAACGGACTTTCTTTTGTTTAAACAGGTATATCCGAAAAATAT